CATGTTTACTTTCTCTTATCCCCGCTATCTTTCTTTCTTTCTTCTTTTTTTTTTTTTTCTATTGTGATTTGGGTAAAAATGTACAGAGAAAATTCACTTTCCATACAGCAGTTCACATACACTTTGTCTCATGACATTGACCACAGTTCCCCACAATGCAACAGCTCCCCTCCCACTTCCTCCCGACAGTCACTTCTTCCCTATATCCATCCCTCCATGCACCCCTGCCCCCTGAGCTGTCTCCCTGTGCATACCCACTATCTTTCTTGACTCTTCCTTTTTTTTGTTGTTCCTTATAACAATCAGAAATGTATAACTTTAAAAAAATATATAGGATTCAGTATTTCACACTTGTAGTCACACTATTTTATTCCATGCCTCCCATACAGAAAATCTAAAGTGTTAAATTTTTAGTGATTATTGTAAAAAGACAATGAGAAGAAGGAAAAAAGGGGATGATAGCAATAAAGCAAATTTCATATTTTTTTCTTATAATTGCATATATAATTTATTACTTATTTCAGCCATACAAGTTCTTGACACCTTCTCTGGAAATGTTCTAATCTGAATAAATAGATACATTCTTTTCCCACTCCACTGCTCTGAAAACTGAAGTACTCTTAATTGGCAAACCTCCTCACTGCTTAAAATAATCACAAGATGTTGTGTATGTGAAACACATCTCCCTGGTTATTCTTGTTTCCTTGCTACTTGTTTTTCTATAGATGTGAAAGTTTCCTAGAGTTCTGCATTCAGACTGAGACAAAATTGTAGTGACTCCTGGCTGAGCCAGGCACTGAAAGACTGGGAGAAGTCTGTCCGCTAGTTTTGGTGAACAGCTCGGTGCAGACCAGTTCTCAACTTTAAAACACCATAACCAGAGACTTCCGGTAAGATGTAGGAATAGGCAGACAAATGACACAGACCCTTCAATAAAGAAAAGAAAAACTAATTGACAGAGAAGATAATCCTGGAGCCCTGAGCTTTGAAAGGAACTATACAGAAGTAGATTAGGCACTAATTAGTGGAAAAACCTGAACGAAAACAGTGAGTACAGAGATAGTCGGAGCTGCAGACTGTCAGCTACTCTGATGCAACCAACAGCCTGAATATTTCCAAGTGGTGTTGGGACCTGAGAACTGACCTCAAGATCAGCCCTGGTCACCGAGGACTGCAGGACGACTGTGCTGGTGTCATATGACTAGGAAGGGAAACAGCAAGGAGGGAGACACCTGAGCTGTTGACTTTCTGCTGTCTGGAGGGTGCAGCCATTTTGATTGTTTACACGCAGTGGCCATTTTGGATATTTAAAGTGACCGAGGGAAGAGCCATTTTGAATGTTTACAAGTGGCAGCCATTTTGGATTTTAAAGTGACAGCATTCTCATTCCAGGGACCTAAGAATAGGCTTTGTTTGCCAAGGTTGGCAGGGACGTACAAGAGGCTGACAACAGGAAAGGAGACAGGTGGTGAGTGTATAAGTGCTGCCAACTAGTAAATAGAGGAGCACAGCACAGTACCCTGAATGCGTAGATAACATACAAACAAAACAAAGAAAACGAAAATCGTAGGCAAGTCACTCCAACATACAATGACCAATTAAATATAAACACAAAAACATCACAATGCCTTGAATACAACAGAGCATCACAGGCCAGACAAAGAAGCAAGATAAGGCAGGACAAACAAGGGATGAGGATATAGACCCAAAACATATGCCTGAGGAAGAAGCAGCAGCATTGGAATTCCCTGATAAGGAATTCAAAAGAATTATATTTAGATATCTTCAAAGGATTGAGAGACAGATCAAGGAAAACACAGCCAAAACCCTAGAAGAATTTCAGAAGAAAATACAAGAACAAAATGACAAAATAAATGAAAAATTAGAAATGATTCAAAATCTACAGATAGAAATCCAGAAGATTAACACTAAATTGTCAGAAATAGATAACACATTGAAAGGACAAAAGAGTAGAATTGATTCAATGGAAGACAGAATTAATGAGATTGAAGACAAATACCTGAATATTTCTTTGGAAAGGGATCAGTCAGAAAAAAGATCAAAACAAACTGAAGTAAGCCTAAGGTTTATGTGGGTATCAATACCATCAGAAGGAGTAACCTACATGTCACTGGAATTCCAGAAAAGGAAGAGAAAAATGAAACCACTGAGAAAATTGCCCAAGATTTGTTGAAAGAGAACTTCCCTGATATGATGAAAGATGAAAATCCATTCAGGAAGTCCAATAAACCCCAAACAGGATAGATCCCAAAAGAAAATCATACAGATTTATCATCATCACACTTACCAAAACCAAAGACAAAGGGAGAATCATGAGAGCAGCATGGGAAAAACAAAAAGTTACCTATAAGGAGCAAACAAGACTAAGTTCGGATTTCCCAGCAGAAACCATGCAAGCGAGAAGACAATGGGATGGTATATATAAAACCCTGAAAGCGAAAACTTTCCAACCAAGAATTATGTACCCAGCAAAATTGTCCCTCAAATATGATGGGGAAATTATGACGTTTCCAGATAAGCAGAAGTTAAGGGAATTTGTTAAAACCAGACGAACCTTACAAGAGATGCTAAAGGGGGCCCTTTGGACAGAGAAGCAACAACAGCCAACGACTGACCTTTAACACTCATGATGATGTAATCCAGAAACCAACCCAGCTATGGAAGTATCCAAAGTAAATAAGCCTACAAGATTGTAAACAGAGAACCAGCAACATCAATTGACAAATGAGGACAACTGCAAACCAAAAAGAGGGATAAAACTGTGTTGTTACAGAACTTCTAGATGGTAGGGATGTCAAGACAACTACAAGATAGAACGGACTGTTCTAAACGTGGGAAGAGAACTATAAATCACATGGTAACCTCAAAGAAAAATGATAAACCTTCCCATCAAAATAAAAAAAAGGACCAGCATAAATATTTAGCAAATACTAAAACAATAGCAACAAAGGAAGTGATAACACGATTCATATATAAAATGAGCTCAGCATTGAAAATTATATGGAACAAAGAAATTGACACCATGAAAAAACACATAACAAAAATGACAGCAACAAATTCATATTTGCCGATAATTGCATGTCTGGCATGGGTCTTATCTCTAAGATTTGTAGAAAACTCCAATGCCTCAACACCAGAGGAATTAACAGTCCAATTAATTGAAAAATGGGCAGAAGACATGAATAGACACTTCACCAAGAAGGATATTCAGGTGGCCAGCTAATACATGAAGAGATGCTCACAGTCATTGGCCATCAGAGAGATGCAAATCAAAACAACAATGAGATACCGTCTAATCCAGCACTGATGGCAAGGTTCAATGAGACAAAAAATAACAAATGCTGATGGAGATGTGGAGAGATTGGGACTCATACACTGCTGGTGGGACTGTGAAGTGATACAACCACTGTGAAAAGCAATATGGTGATTCCTTAGAAAGCTGGAATTGGAGATACCATTTGAGCCAGCAATTCCATTACTAGGTGTATGTCCTAGAGAGGTGAGAGCCAGGACAGGAGCATATATGTGCACACTCATACTCATGTTCATCACAGCATTATTTACAATAACAAGAAGATGGAAATAACCTATGTGCCCATCAGTGGAAGAGTGGATGACCAAACTATGGTACATACATAATGGAATGCTATGCAGCACTAAAGAATAATGTAGAGTCTGCAAAACACTGCATAATATGGATGAACTTGGAGGTCATTATGGTGAGTGAAATAAGTCATGCATAGAAGGACAAATATAGTATTAGTTTGTTGTAGAAGGTCAAGGAAAAGTTTATATATGGAGGGAAACTTCCTTTG